TCGGGTGATATAGATAGAGAGAACTATAGACCTGAAAGAAGAGGAGAAATGTTTTAAATCCCTGCACCTGAAAGCAATATTTCATTTTTTTTCAAAGCTTCATCTGTCTGTGCTTTATATATATAACTGTCCCGACATGTCTAGCTTGGCTTTGGTAAACAGGGCCCCCGCTTGGAACATGTACTTTTTGGATTGTGGCTTCCAGACTCCTCCTGTCAGTATGTCACAAGCTAGCAATAAGTGTACTGTTCTGGGACTCTGGGAATTAACATTCAAAAAAATAATAATAAAGTTTCCAAGCACCGGGTAGCACACTCCAGCATGTGGTGGGTACCATTAGCCAGCCTTTATGATCTCTTTGAAATGGTCATCCTGAGCTGCTGCTTTTGCTTTGTGCTACGGGTTCTGCCCCGGTCCCTACCCCCTGCTGTCCAGTGGAAGGACCAGGCTGAAGGTTACAGAAACCGATGGCCTTGCCACCAAGCTGGAATCCAAAGAGCAGGACAGGAATGTTCCTAATAAATACAGCACAGAAAGGAGAGAGCGAGAGAGCCAGAGGTGTAATTCATGAACTGGCACTTTGTGAGGGCCTGCCTTTTCCCCACTCATTCTCCATAATGCCAGCGAGGCCATTTCTCCTGAGCCAAGGCCCGGCCATTCTTGGCACTGAAACACTGGCTCCGTTCTTTCCTCCCCACCCGTCTCTGCTTTAAAGGGAAGAGGGGAACAAAGCCTAGCATAGGAAAAAGACCCCAGAAGGATTTCTAGGGCAGGAGGCATTTGAAATGTGCCTGTGGCAGCAACGCAAAGGGCACAATGGCAGCGCTCTCCTGGCGGGGGCGTGGAGTGGAATGCGTTGCCTCAGAAGGGCCATGGCTTCTCTCCAAGCTTTTTTCTTTTTCCTTGAAAATGTTAGCGGAATCATTCTGATTTTTGCCACCTCCCAAAACAGAGCCATGCCTTCCTTCAAGGACCCCGGGAACCGAAAGTTGGTGTCTTTGGTTTAACTTTGAGTTAATTATCATTCAGGAATCAGGGGAAAAAAGAGGTAAAAATTTGCTAAAGGCTCATATTGACCTTCAGGCTTGTGGCAGCAGCTGTGAAACTAGGACTCAATGGTTTAGAAACAAAGCCAGATTCCATCCTGTTTCTCTCTTGTGGGTGTAGGATGATGTTAATATAAACAGAACAGGCGTTTTCTCTGCCAGTGCATTACTCTTTGCTTCCATACGGAACTTCAAATAAGATGGCGCAGGTCAGGGAAGCAGTGAAATGGATCTGGATCCACATAGCGATGCTCCTTCTTGGATCTCTTCTAGATCTGTGGTTTTGTAGCAAAAATCCTGGGATGTTCTTGGGATTAGACCTCATGAGAGAAAGAAATCAGCGCACCTTATTAGTTCACTGAAATAAGACCATAAATTAAATTTTATTGGTGAAACTAAAGACTTTTTTGAAAAAAAATGTTCAGGAAAGCTTTTAAAAAGATGTCAAACCAATTGAGCTACTGCCCTTGCGCTCATCTGCAGTGTTTGAAAAATGTTACCTTTGTGGACTACAGATCCCAGAATCCCTAAACAATCATGGCTGTTGGGAGTTGCAGCCCCAAATATGTGTATGTGTGTATTTTAAAAAAAGTAAACTCTGTTCTACCATTGAGTTATCTGTCCCCTTTTAAAGAAAAATATGGTGCTTCTTTACTGAATGAATGTACGAGTTTGAGCTCTGCTCTCTTTTAGGCATTGGATTTTCCTTTGTTATGGATTTTAAACTTTTTGCTTGCTTTTGTCACCATGGAGCCAGATTCCCTCCTCTTTCCTCTGGCTAATAAGTTGGCTTATGTGTCAAGAATTTTGGAGCACTGGCCAAAAATCTTATGTGTTCTCATTTCTCCCTACCACCATCACCATCATACTTTTTTTTTTTTGCTTTCTCTCAGCTGTGTAAAAGGCAAAACTCTTTGCAGCTGAGAAAATGGCATAGCTGTCACTAATCCAGGAGAGATCCAGATTTGCCAAGGGGCTCAAAAGCAGCTCAAAAATCCCACAAACTTTCTTCAGAAACGTTTTTAAGGGTGCCTCCTAAAGGTATCGTTCCTTGAATCCAAGAACTTTAATGCCTCACCCCATTCAAATCTACCTCAGAGGTGAAAGGCCTGAAGGGCAAATTCATTGCTGTTTATATTAACAAAGACAAATAGGTAAAATGGAGTGTGTTCCAAACTCCTGGCTCTTTTCCCTAACTGAAGTTTGAATGTGCCAAAGCTTAGCATCTCTGAAGATTGTATCTACTAGATTTAAGGAGTGGGGTAGTGAGAACTTTCTCATTGGCTGATAGTATCTGCAAAGGCATCTAGGCATTGCACTGTTGTATCCCCACAGAACTGAAGACAGTTGGATGTCTCTTGCTTGGTTTTGACCTCATGTGTTCCCTGCCCTACAGTTTATTACACAGCTGTGGGGTGCATTTGAAGTGTTGCAGGTGCTGTTCCCAGGCAGCAGCTCTCCGTATTAACAAAAGCCAATGCAGCAGATGGCTTTCAGAACTTTCATTGTCATGCGTGCATTCAAATAAAAGATCTCATTATAGAAAGGGCATGTGTATATAAATTTTCACTAAATGAGAACCTCACATGCCATATGGTGAGATGTTTTTTCTTCACAAAAGTTTTCACATAATCAAGACTGATTTCTGCTCAAATTCTAAAGCAGAGCTTTGCACAAAGTACAGTATCCCTTTGTTGCCTGGATTTTTAGAAGTGGAAGCATCGGATGGGTTGTGCACATCATGTGATGCCTCATCTAGTCCTTCTGTGCTTGTTGTGGTTGTTCTTTGCTTCATAAAGGAAAAATACATCAGTTTGGCACAGAAATATTTTGTACAAATGGCAGAAAAGTCAAAGGAGGGAGGAAAGGATCTGTTGTCTTTTCTCACACTAGAGGAGAAAACTTGCAGAGATTTGTGACTTCTGGATTGTCTGTCTCATTCATGAAATTTTGTTAGTTGCAATAGGATAAATATACATAACAGACTTAAGGTAGTAATGGGAGAGTATGGACAGAAAAAAACTAACAAATTTGATATGAATATACATATTGTGATACACCAAGATCACCCGCAGACTGCAAGAAAGCAGCACCTTTACAGCACACCATTTAGAACAGTGGTTCTCTGTGTTGGCTGTTTGACTGCTTGAATTGACAACCTGAAAAGAGTACAATATTAAGCTCAGTAATATTGTATTCCTACACTTAGAAATCTAGTGTATGGAAAGTGCTGATCTGGGAACTTCCCCTCTTGTCTCTTAAAATTGAAGAAAGTGTTAAACAATGGCAAACTGTTAATAGTGTTTTTGAGCCAAACTAGATAGCTCAGTGAGTTACGCATCTAGTTCTGGAGCCAAAGGTTGGGAGTTCAGTTCCCCACTGTGCTTCCCAGAAGAGCCAGCCTGTGTGGCCTTGGGCAAGCTGCATAGTCCCAGCATGCCCCAAGAAGAAGGGAATGGTAAACCTGAGTACTCTCTACCTAGAAAATGCTGAAAAGGGTTGCCATAAATCAGAATTGATTTGACAACACACAGTTGCTTTTAATAGGAGACAAAATTCCTTAAGTGAAGATATCTGTCACAGTAGGAGAACTTTTCAGACCTCCTGCAGTTTGCAGATTAGCTTACTTTTTTGTGTGATTGGTCATAAGGAAATACACCTAGCTTTGTCTGAAAGTACGATAACTCAGTATAGAGGACCTTACATGTAATTATTATGACTCAGTTGTAATGGATGTTATTAAGACAGTGGAACCAGTTACCTCAGGAGTTGGTGAGTGCTCCAACACTGGAGGCATTCAAGAAAAAATTGGATACTCACTTGGCAGATATGCTTATTGTATTCCTGTGTTGAGCAGAGGGTTGACTTGATGCCCTTGTAGGCCCCTTCCAACTTCACTTTTCTGTGATTCTATGATTCTAAGATAGCCAGGCCAAGTACGCAACGAAATCAAGACCTAGTTCATAGGTTCAGAATCATGTATCTGGAATACTGATTTCAGCATCTGCTGTCTATAAGCTATACAGTAACTCTTACATATCTGTTCCAAGTTGTCAGTGATTTTGGGAATTGTTGTTTCCCCCTTTTGTGTGTAGCTTTGTTCCCATGCTTACATCACCTGGAACTATTGCTTCAGTGACTACTTTATTCCTGCTTGTAGCTCAGTGTGGTCTGGGATTGTATAGATGGTTCTGTGGACGGCTCCTAAATAGGTAAGCCGTGCACCAGTATTCATGGGTTTGTAGTCAAGGTTGGGTAGATGAATTATTTGTTCTTTCCACATCCATTAGCTATTGTTTTCCCCTTTGTTTCTGATGTATGTGCCTGTCCTGTCAAGCAAGCATGATATGCAAATGTTGAAGTGTGGGAGAGAGGCATGAAGATGTGGAAGAATACATATCTGATGGAGAAGTCCAAGTGGTCAAAAGTTGCAAAGTTCTATCAATTGAATAAAGTGGGGAATAATCAACAGATAGGAGGCAGATATTTAGCCCTATATAACTCATCAAGGACTGGTCCATAGACTGGGAAAGCTCTTCCCCTCCCTAACTGCAAAGGGTCAAATTAGGATATGGGGCATCTATGCCAATGTCAAATCTTCCAGAAGTCCTGCTCATGTGACCAGTCCTTCAGAAATGAAGGATGTAGCATCACATAAACAGGGCATCCAGCAGAAGCTCCATGCCCATTTTTTAATGCAGTAAACACTTTGTAAAGGTGTTTTTAAATTTGGGAATAGATTTAGTGCTATTTTAAATTGCGCTTGCTCGTTCTCACTCTAACCACTTTATTCATTTTATTCCTCTTTAATCAATAGTTTCATCCCAATGTCCTTTTCTTCCCTATGCCAGGACACAGCCTAAAGATCTGAATACCGTCCTGTGTTTTTACAGGCATTCTAGATGTGTTCAGGCTGGCAATCTCCTTTTTCTCATGTTGCAATTGAACTTTCAGGAGTGCAGTCCCCACGGGAGAAGTCTCCCGAAGAAACCGAAGCCCCTGTCCGGAGACGTACTACCAGTGAGGGCCAGTATGAGAACAGTCCCCAGGACCCAAGCTCACCACGAAGCCCTACTGTCCGATCTCCAGTTCACTGTGTCTCACCTGAGGTGGTCAACACCATTGCTGCCAACCCTGGAGGAAGGCCCAAAGAGGTATGCCTATAAACACTGGTTTTCCTAGTAGCTATACTGCTTGATTACCTGGAAACCCAGGTAGAAAGGTGTGTGCTTTGATCCCAGTGCTTGGTAGCAGGTGGAAAAGGCCAGGATGTTGAAGGAAAAAGAGTCTAGTTTGATGCATGTACAGACAATTTTGCCCAAATGCCCTTTGGGTGTAACTCTTCTTTCATTTGGGGAAATAGCTGTACTGCTTTGAGCTGTGAAATTCATATGGTGCTTCTCATTTGTCGAATAATAAAGGCTGGAATACCATGTCTACCCTGCACATATGTTGTCAGGATTAGATGTAGCCACCACTGTGTCTTCCTTTCTGACATTTTGGGGGAACGGAGGACAATCAGAAAGCAGGAGAAAGTTCTCTGAAATTTGAGCTGAGAGAAAGGAGTGAGTAAGGCAAGTATAGGCAACATAAAAGAGTAAGTGGTTATAAGCTTTAGCTGAATGAAGCCAAAGATCCAGTGCAAAGACAAAAGATGTTGCTGTCCAGTTTCTGCAGGGTGGGACTGAATGGAATGGGAATGTTTTGAAATCTGAGCTGATTCTCTTTTTCCCTCCACCCTTCCTTTCACAGCCTCATCTCCACAGCTATAAGGAGGCTTTTGAAGAGATGCAAGGGACCCCTCCAAGCAGCCCACCTTCCAGCGGTGGTGAGACCTCCCCCCCAACCCCCGCCTTCCCTGTCTCACCACAAACCCCTTACAGTAACCTGTGTAAGTTCTGTGGCTTGGGCAAGTGATGGGGTTGAGGGTTGGGGGTGAGGCTGGTGGGTGGCTTTGTCAAAGCCAGACTTAGAGGCAGCCAGTTCAACCATTCTCAGCTTCCTGACACCCACCACCATTTTAATCACAACCTCATTTTCTTGTTTCTTTCCGTCTTCCAGTCTCAGCTCCTTCCCTCTCACTTTTTCATCTCTGCTTGCCACAGTCTTCTCATGATGCCACTGTGAAGTGTGCCTTCACTTACTATAAGGATCACAACGGGAAAGTTCTGCAACTCTTGAGGGCCACTCAGGGCAGGGGGTGGGGGTGGGCAGAGGATGCATAGGATATAACCAGAGCCATGCACTACCAGCAAATGATGAAGACAGTAGCTGCAATGCCACTGCAAAAACTACAAAAGCATGGCCATATATTGTCTCTGCTCTCTCTTCATTACTCACTGCATACAATCCCTAACCAGGCAGTGTTAAATCATGTAGAGGAAATGCATTAGGAGGGGATTGCACTAGTTTAATGGTTCCCAACCTTGAGTCCCCAGATGTTCTTGGACTAAAACTCCCAGCCTTCATCTCTAGCTGTGCTGGCCAGGATTTCTGGAAGTTGTAGTCCAAGAACATCTGGGGACCCAAGGTTGGAAACCAGTATTCTAGTTCCATCCCAGTTTTGTTGCCCTGCTACCTGTGAATGGCAATGAGTCAGAAAGAAGACTTTCCTGTATCTGTAAGGGCTTGCCCACATTAATTAGAGGCTAGATTCTCATTAGGTTTCTAGTAGAGGTCCACCTTGTGGATATGGAAGGCTATATTCTCCATCCTCATCCCTTGCCACATGTAGAGGGTGATGGGACCAGAGACAGAGAGGCTAGTGTACTCCTCTCATTGTGTGTGTTAGCTGTCTGTGCTTTAATAAAATACTTGCCATGGAGGTCCACACGGCACGACTGCAGAGCCGAAGGCTCACCAATTTGAATAAAGCCCATTCATGGCTTGATATTCCTTCTGTTTTTATTGTGTGCTTGAGATAGGATAGGGATACCGGCCATGAAGGATTTTCCCATTCATGGCTTGATGTTCTTATTGTGTGCTTGAGATAGGATAGGGATATAATTAAGCTGCAATATATAAACGGTGGACTGTTTTTGGCTTTGTGAAATACCAGTTACGGCAGCCTCTTGTAGGAAAATTAGTCCATTGTTTCATGGATCTTTGAATGGCAGAAATCCAGGAATAAGTCACAACTAGAGGAGGCCCACTAGATTGGTGGGAATTTGGTGAGTCAACAGCTATGTAAGTTCCACTGCTTCAGTGAACCTGCTCTGGTTGCTACATACTTCTAGATTTCAGCCATTGATACAAAACGTACACCTTTCTATATCAGGGGAAGGGGGATTAATATAAGAAAAGAGTTCATGTCAAAATCTTGCTTATCTTAGCATGGGGAAATAGGAGAAACTGGATTGACAAGATTGTTACACCCTATTGACAACAGAATCTTTATATCCATCAGCAACACTTAGTTATGCATACAGGTTCAGCAATGTATTTGTAAGAACGCCATGATTTATTAACCTCTTTAAAACACTCATATAGGCAAACTTCCTTCCTTACTCGGGGAAACGTATTAGTCTATACTCTGAGAAATCCCAGTGTGTAAACTCTACATGGGGACATCCTGCACTGGTTATTCTAAATGAGGAATTCCTCTGTGAAACATCTGTCAGGATCATGGACTAAATCAGTAATTATGTTTCTCTGACTGACAGTTTTAACATTGCTGCCAAGTCCGATGTTAAAGTCCTAGAAATCCCTTTGGTTTCATTCTTGAAGGATATTCTGACCCATGTAGTGTTCCAGAGATTTTGTCTTTTATTGTTTTAGGACAAAAGAGTCATTTGGCCACTCATCGAAAAGCCACATGGCACACATATCAGTGAGTTTCAGCACCATTTACAGCCTTTTGTAGGCATGGAAAACAAATACTCAGAACATAGCAAAGCTGGTGAGACAGAAAGGGAATGAGATCTCTTTGTTACACCTAAAACCAGAGTCTATTTGTCAAATGGCCCCAAGGAAGTTTATGTAAAATCTGTACTTTTGGCACAGAAATCTGACTTTAGGTAATTTTCCTCTGGTTTCCTCTGAGCCTCTGACTCTTGAGGGAGGGAGAGAGGGGCAGATGTTTTCTGCAGGTGGAGGGAAATGAACAATAGCCCAAACCCTAAAGACATACTTGAAACAGCATTTCAGTTTTCATACACTTCCCCAACAGGACACATGCTGGTGCAGAACAGATTTGGGGAAGGGCTGCATCAGGTCACTGCCTGGAAAGGTCCAGTGCTCGTCCATCACAAACACTCAGCTTTAAGGCTCCCCCGCCCCCCAGTTCTTCTGCTTATCGTTTGGTGGAAAGACAGGTTTTAAATTACAAACAAAAAGAAACAAGGAGGATAGGTAGGTAGGAAGAAAGAAAGAAGGAGAACTCCATATGTTTCCACCACTACATACTATAAAAAGTTATACATACTATGAAAAGTTTCTCTACAAGGCCTGTCTGATTTATGCTGTGCATGGCGATGAGTTTAGGATATTTTCCATGGGTACTCCTTCAAGCGTCACATAAAAATGAATACCATGTTAGTTCCCTTTTTAAAAAAATATAAGCTTGGCCATTTCAAGACAGAAAGTACAAAGTACATTCAAATTGGCAGTAGCCAACACCAGCATTCACTACTAGATCACTGGTGTTAATGACAGTCCAAAGCATGTCCTCCCTCCCTCTCTCTTCTCTGTGTGTATGTAAAGAGATACAGATGTACACATAGTTACACCTGCCTGAAGAATTTGTGCGTTTAGATGTTCTACTGTTTCGCTCTTCCTTTAGATCAAGCACATCTGGAGGATTTAACAGGCTAGTTTTAGGAGTTGTGCCCTACGTCCAATTGATACAATATCAGTGTCAATATAATTCCATTCATTTGACCAGAATACTCCACATGTGATCTAGCCTATCTGCAGTACTCATTCCTTACAGCCAAACTACACAGCAACAGTTACAGTCACAATATAGTACATATAGTTCTCCAAGCAAACTCATGTTACTAAATGCTGTGCATCTGGTCTATGTATTCTGATAGAGGGCCAAGCAGTACAGTCCATGGATATCCCAAGATGTTGGTGTCTGCAGAACTGCTGCAGCTATGGGGGGAGGGGGCGGGAATCCTGGTCTTTAAACCCCTGTTGCATGCCCCACCTTCTTTACTCTTCTAGTCAAGCATGTTTCTGTCTAACTAAACCTTGATAACTTGGTGGTGGGTTTTGAAAACTACAGGCTCAGCTTTGAGCAGTTATGCTCCCATTTCACCAGGCCAGCACCAACATGGCTGTGTGGAACAAATGCAGTGAACCACTGAGCAAATGGGAAAGCGCAAATATACCACTGTGAATGGGGAACCATCATTTTAAGAACAATGTGATTCTAAGCAGGAAATGACACAGATGCTCCTGAAAGAGGATGCCTTATGTTTGTTGTTGTTTAGTTGACCCTTCGTGACCCCATGGACCAGAGCACGCTAGGCCCTCCTGTCTTCCACTGCCTCCTGGAGCTTGGTCAAATTCATGTTGGTCGCTTCGATGACACTGTCCAACCATCTTGTCCTCTTTCATACCCTTCTCCTCTTGCCTTCACACTTTCCCAACATCAGGGTCTTTTCCTGGGAGTCTTCTCTTCTCATGAGATGGCCAAAGTATTGGAGCCTCAGCTTCAGGATGTGTCCTTCCAGTGAGCACTCAGGGTTGATTTCCTTCAAAATGGATAGGTTTGTTCTCCTTGCAGTCCAGGAGATTCTCAAGAGTCTCCTCCAGCACCACAATTCAAAAGCATTAATTCTTCGGCGGTCAGCCTTCTTTATGGTCCAGCTTTCACTTCTATACATTGCTACTGGAAAAACCATAGCTTTGACTATGCAGACCTTTGTTGGCAAGACAATATCTCTGCTTTTTAAGATGCTGTCCAGGTTTGTCATCGCTTTCCTCCCAAGAAGCAGGAGTCTTTTAATTTCGTGGCTGCTGTCTCCATCTGCAGTGATCATGGAGCCCAGGAAAGTAAAATCTGTCACTACCTCCTTATCTTCCCCTTCTATTTGCCAGGAGGTGATGGGACCAATGGCCATGATCTTAGATTTTTTTGATGTTGAGCTTCAGACCGTTTTTTGCTCTCTCTCCTCTTTCACTCTCATTAAGAGGTTCTTTAATTCCTCCTCATTTTCTTCCATCAGAATGGTATCATCTGCATATCTGAGGTTGTTGATATTTCTCCCAGCAATCTTAATTCCGGCTTGGGATTCCATCCAGCCTTTCACAGGATGTATTCTGCATATAAACCGAATAAGCAGGGAGACAATATGCAGTACAGCCTTGATGTACTCCTTTCCCAATTTTGAACCAATCAGTTGTTCCATAGCCAGTTCTGTTGCTTCCTGTCCCACATATAGATTTCTCAGGAGATAGACAAGGTGGTCAGGCACTCCCATTTCTTTAAGGACTTGCCATAGTTTGCTGTGGTCTACACAGACAAAGGCTTTTGCGTAGTCAATGAAGCAGAAGTAGATATTTTTCTGGAACTCTCTGGCTTTCTCCATAATCCAGTGCATGTTAGCAATATGGTCTCTAGTTCCTCTGCCCCTTCAAAATCCAGCTTGTACTTCTGGGAGTTCTCGGTCCACATACTGCTGAAGCCTGCCTTGGAGGATTTTGAGCATAACCTTGCTAGCTTGTGAAATGAGTGCAATTGTATGATAGTTGGAGCATTCTTTGGCACTGCCCTTCTTTGGGATTGGGATTTTTTCCAATCCTCTGGCCACTGCTGAGTTTTCCAAACTTGCTGGCACATTGAATGTAGCATCTTAACAGTGTCATCTTTTAAGATTTTAAATAGTTCAACTGGAATGCTATTCCCTCCAATGGCCTTGTTGTTAGCCATGCTTTCTAAGGCCCACTTGACTTCACTCTCCAGGATGTCTGGCTCAAGGTCAGCAACCACACTGTCTGGGATGTCCGGGACATCCACATCTTTCTAATATAATTCCTCTGTGTATTCTTGCCACCTCTTCTTGATGTCTTCTGCTTCTGTTAGGTCCCTACCATTTTTGTCCTTTATCATGTTCATCTTTGCACAAAATGTTTCTTTAATATCTCCAATTTTCTTGAACAGATCTCTGGTTTTTCCCTTTCTATTCTTTTCCTCTATATCTTTGCACTGTTCATTTAAGAAGGCCCTCTTGTCTCTCCTTGCTATTATTTGGAAGTCTGCATTCAATTTTCTGTAACTTTCCTTATCTCCCTTGCATGTTGTTTCCCTCCCTTTCTCTGCCATTGGTAAGGCCTTGTTGGTCAGCCACTTTGATTCTTGCATTTCCTTTTCTTTGGGGTGGTTTTTGTTGCTGCCTCCTGTACAATGTTACGAACTCTATTAGCCTTTGCCCAGCTTCATTTTGAAATCCAAGGCCAAACGTACCTGTTGTTCTTTTTATCTCTTGACTCCCTACTTTATCATTCCAGTCCCCTATAATGACAAGAACATCTTTCTTGGTGTAAGTTCCAGAAGTTGTTATAAGTCTCCATAGAACTGGTCAATTTCCTCCTCTTCAGCATCCGTGGTTGGTGCCTAAACCTGGATTGCTGTGATGTTGAAAGGTCTGCCTTGGATTCGTATCAAAATCATTCTATCCTTTTTCAGATTGTATCCCATTACAGCTTTTCCCACTCTTTTGTTGACTATGAGGGCTACTCTATTTCTTCTACGGGATTCTTGCCCACAAGTAAATATGATAATCGTCTGAATTGAATTCACCCATTCCCATCCATTTTAGTTCACTGATGCCCAGGATGTCAATGTTTATTCTTGCCATCTCCTCTTTGACCACATCCAGCTTCCCAAGGTTCATAGATCTTACATTCCAGATTCCTATGCAGTAATTTTCTTTGCAGCATCGGACTTTTCTTTCACTTCCAGGCGCGTCCGCAGATGAACGTCCTTTCGGCTTTGGCCTAACTGCTTCATTAGCTCTGGAGCTACTTGTACTTGTCCTCCGCTCTTCCTCAGTAGCATGTTGGATGCCTTCTGACCTGAGGAGCTCATCTTCCAGTGCCATATCTCTTAGCCTTTTGTTTCTGGCCATGGATTTTTCTTGACAAAGATACTGGAGTGGCTTGCTAGTTCCTGCTCCAGGTGGATCACATTTAGTCAGAACTCTCCATTATGACCTGTCCATCTTGGGTGTCCCTGCACGGCATAGCCCCTTTGCCACAACAAGGCAGCAGTCCATGAAGGGAGACCAGGGTTCAAATCCCATTCAGCTATGGAAACTCACTGGGAGGAAGTGGAACGGATGGAACCACTCCTTAAATATTTCACTTGTCTTGACAGCTCTGTTGGGGAAAATAGCAGTTGGTTCAAACATAACAATACCTAACATAATGAAGTAGATAAATAAATATAACTGCAGTTGATACAAAATCATTTCAGCAGATACCACTCTACGTCTTTCAAAGGAACCCATAACTTAATCTCATGCATGTTTACTTGGATGAGATTCCTATTGAATCAGCAGGATTTCTTCCCAAAGAAGAATAGGATTGCAGGCTTCATGCCAATTACTGTATATCTTGTTTAAGACAAACATATTTTATTGGGGAGAACAGATATGGACTTCTTTCTAGTTCTTTGTTATAATGAGGCAGTCTGAAAACCTTCAGTAGCCTGAGTCTTCAGCTTCCCCCATCCATTGCTTTCAGATCAAGCTGTATGAAATGATTTTGTTATTAACATTTGTTTGCTTTGCCAACAAACCAAAGAGGGAGCTTGACGGGCTGTCTGTAAAGCTGTCATGGCCTGTGCAAGTGAATAACAAAAATGTCAGTACTGTGCTTGGTCTCAGGGACGCAGATTGGGCACAGGGAGATATCTTGTGTGATATGAAACTACTCAACATGGAATTTCCCAATTGCTCCTTGGCACTGAGCAAAGAATTCTAGCCAGCTAAGCTGATCTGTGATGAAATTGTGGCCTTTGGTAACTGGCTTTCCTTTAACACACCTGCCTCCCTCCCTCCCTCCTCCTCCTCCTGTGGCCCTGGCGTGGGTACCCATCTGAAGCCGTAAGTTAAAGGAATGCAATAGAAGTCATGGAGGGTGTGTTGAAATTTTCCTTAACAGACAATAGTACCTTTGTCTCCATACATCTGCTAATCCTTAGGACAAGAATTTGAAATTCAAGCTGAAAAACCTGGATTGTTTTGGAACTGGTGCAGTGATAGCAGCAATGCTGATAGAATGGGGTTCTGGGTGCTTGTGAGATTTGCTGTTGCAAGCACATCATATGTATACATCTGCATTTATTTGCTTCATTGCTGCCTACTGTGTATGTATCCAGTGTATACACACAATGGCTATCCTCTATGTTATTCTATTTTTCCCTCCCCTGAGTAGATCTAAAACCCAATATATGCTGATGCAGTTATGGAAACCTATGTCATAAATAAAGGCATATGTCAACATATATACAGTTTATGACATATGCTGTTTATGACTATTGCTGGGAGTACCTTGTTTTGTCTTTTGGTCATGATGTTTACAGATGATTGTGGTAATCACATGACAGGAGGTGATGTTACCATTCATCCACAACTGTTTTTAAAAACATATTGGCAGTGGCATAGTAATGCTGTGGTTATTCGCTGCCGAGGATATTTCTGTTTTGTAGCTGTTGTACTGGGCAGATAAAGAGAAAATTGGCAATTGTTAGATACCCATTATAAAGTGTCTAACCTATAATCCCACAAAGGGCTGCAAATGGGAAATATGACAATGCAAGATTGGGAAACTTGGTGGTTATACCGAATATTTTGTGTTCTTAATGGGTACGGACAAAGCCATGTGGCATATTTAAAAGGTGAATCACCACTCCCGGAGTCTTCCAAAAATCCACCTACAGTGTGACAAAAGTTCTGTATCTTAGAAAAAGGAAAGACTGAAATATGGCGATATCCACTATATGAATTATTTCCCAGGGATGTTCTGCAAAGAAGAGTAAAGGGAGAAAGATTGCCTGCCAGTGTTTTTTATTTTTTATTTATTTTTTATTTTTGGCAATTTAGTGCAAAGAAACAATTTAGGTTTGTTTTGGTCCTCTTTGAAAACAAGCATTTAACTCCATGCCATTGACACTTCGGAATCAGATTGACTGCTGTTTCATCACAGAATAGATAGAGAGTCTGAAGAGGCAGTTATGCTCTTATTAGAATAATATGATAGATATTGTTCCAAGATTGAAGGGATGAATGATGTGAAACCATTCTTAATGCCATTAGAAACTGGGGGGTGTTGTTTACTTTGAAAGGGGACAGGTCATGTCCTGCTGAAAAGTTTTGTCAGTTAGGAATAACTTGGCCTTGCATGTATGTCCAGGAAAGCTGCTAGGTTTGTTTTTTTTCTTTTCCTTTTTACTAGCTGTACTCAAGCACCACACACTTCTACCTTAGGCACATAAATGGGCAGGTAATAGTAGTGGGATGTTTCCTGCTTTCTCCCTGTCCAGCCAAAGCTAGAAGGCTGATGCTAGCACAGGGCAAGGTGTTATCTGGCTATGGAATTGTTGCTGCTTAAACAGATGTTCTTCTTTGTCCTGGTTTTGAGATTACAGGAGAGAGACCCTTCTATTTCCACTTCATGTAAGCCTCTAGGAAACCTGCTCTTTTTTTAAAAAACATAAAGCATAGGGATGGCTTGCTTTCTTTTGCCCAAGAGAGAATAGTGTTTTTCTTTTAAAATCAAAGGCATAACCCAGAGACAAAGGTACTCCCTCTTGACATCTATGTTCCTGTGGATTCAGTAAGCCAGCTACCCAGATCATTTCCAACCACATATGGACACAGGAAACACCATCATGTTTAGCTTTTTGTATCGGCTGGTCTTTAGAAACAAACTTAGAGATGCCAGGAATTCTTAGTCTTTTGATGGAATTGATCTCTTTGTATTCTGTTCTATTGATATATTTCTCTCCATGTGTCCTTTTGACAATAGTGCGCTCTCCACCAGGACTGGCCAAAACTCCACTTTCAGCTTTGGGCTTAAAACCTCACAACCCAGCTGAGATTTTGTTGCAGCATTCTGGAGGTAAGTGAGTGCCTCGGGAGCCATAGAGAGAGAGAATGAGAGAGAGAGAGAGAGAGAGAGGCTGTTCTCAAGCAAACAGACATATGAATATGATAATGCCTGAAATTCTCTTCATGCAACAATGCTGTGTAAGGCTGATGATGTCATCAGCAACTGTGATTGTTTGGAAATAAAATATTTCCGATCCCTTTCAAAGTTTTTGAGAGTCCTGTGGGATTCCTGCTGTCATGGGGGAAGCCATTGGAGACTACAGGAGTTTTTTTTGGAGGGGGGTGTAATTTCTGAAAATCACTTCACCTGGAAGTCATTCTAGCAGTGGGAATTTTCAGAAATTAAAGACTTCCCCCATGCCTTCCTCAACAGTTTCCCCATGAGGGTAGGAATTCCAAGAGAACCTCAGGAATTCTGGTTGGGCTAGGGTGGGGAGATCAGAAATATTTTATTTTTGAAACAGCACTGCAGCTAACGACATCAGCTTTACTCAGTGCAACTTACAACAACAGAATTTCAGGCAAGATATATTGTTTAACCAGCCCTTTCTGATATATGACTGCCTGTTTCTTCGAGACAGAACATAACACTCAAAAAGCATGAAGTAGTTTTGAAAGCAGCCTCTGTGTCAGACTTTATTTTCATCCTGCCTGAAATTGATTTTAGCTTTGGACTATAAGTAGATCATATCTCCTTCGATTTGACAGTATTTGCTATTTTAATAGTAGAAAAGCTCACCATTCAAACAAGATTTCAATGTGTGATCCAGTATGCTATACAGTGGGGTCTCTACTTAAGAACATCCCTACTTAAGAACAATCCAACGTAAGAACAGCTCCATTTGCTAAATTTTGCTTCTACTTGAGAACAGAAATCCAAGATAAGAACAGGAAAAAAACCTTTCCTGCTCTTTTTTTAACCTTAGGTCATCTTAGGTTAAAAAAAATTCTCCCCCTAGTGGTAGAGTACGTATTAACCAGCTTTGTATTAGTTCCTATGGGAACTAATGCTTCAATGTACGAAAGCACCTCTACATAACAAAAAAACAGCCAGAACGGATTAATTGGTTTTCAGTCCATTCCTATGGGAAATTTTGCTTCAACTTAAGAATGTTTCAACTTAAGAACACCATTCCAAAACGGATTAAGTTCTTAAGTAGAGGTTCCACTGTATTCAGTATTGTTACAGTCCATAAAACAGAGGTGTTGATGGTTTAATTTAGTGACTGCCGTGTTTCCCTGAAAATGAGACAGGGTATTATATTAATTTTTGCTCCAAAAATGCATTAGGGCTTATTTTTGGGATGTTTTATTTTTTTCATGGACAATAATCTACATTTATTCAAATACCGTCATGTCATCTTCTTCTGGTTGCTGCACAACGGTGGAGGGTGGAGTTTCACTTAACTGGGGCTTACTTTGGGGGTAGGGCTTATATTACAAGCATCCTGAAAAATCATAGTAGGGCTTATTTTCAGGGTAGGTCTTATTTTCGGGGAAACATGGTATGTTATGCTATAAGACTACATTTACTTAAATGGACTGTATGTCATGCTATCCTTTAAGTAAAGCGTGTTTGCTTAGCTACAATGTGCACCCTTCATACAGCAAGAGTGGTCTGGTAGTCCAGATAGGCGGGGAATAAATAAATAAATAAATAAATAAATAAGAAAAAAGCAGTGTAAAAACCTGAGGCACAAGGTAGAAGCTCTTATTTTCCTTTTAAATGCCTGTAAAGAACTGGTAGAAACATCAGTATATATGTGAATAATTCTGAATTTTCTGACCAGTCAACATCTGGTAGGCCTTAATGAAAAACTGCTATGTCATCCTGATTATATTTCTAAAAGCACCCTGCCAGACTTTCTCTTTTAAATTCAAATCTGGATAGCTCAGTGGTTTAAAGTATCTGGATGTGAAGCTAGAATTTGGGGGTTTGAATCTCCACTCTGCCTCCAATGATGAGAGCCAACCTGTGTAGCCTTGGGCAAGCTACACAGTTCTAGAGAGCCCCCAGAAGAAGGGAAAAGTAAACTAACTACTCTCTACCTGGAAAACTTGAAAAAAGGGTCACCATAAGTCAGAATCATGTGGACTGCACATTATGATGATGATGATGATGATGATGATGATGATGATGATGATGATGATGATGATTACAGTGGTGCCTCGCTTAACGAGTGCACCGTTTAACGAAAAATCCGTATAGCGATCCCTTTTTG